TATTGACGGTAAAGACATTTTTTAGCCAAACTATTGACAGTAAGGACATTTTGTTTCTTTTCACATAGTTTAAGGACATTTTTGACCTTTTCCCCTTAAATATCATACCTAATGAAAATGTAATGGATTTCAATCCCAAATAAGAATGCAACTTTGTAGCAAGGAAAATATTAGTCTAATTTGTAAGTCAATAACACAAATGTGCATCTATAGTTCTCTTAATCTCAAAATAAAACTATATACTCTTTTTATTCTTTCAATTATTATTTTTCCTTTTTGTTGTTATGAAGTCAAAAATAGTGGGTGGGAGTGGGATTAGAATAAGATTCCATTTTGTCACATGATGCTCAATATTCTCCGCGTGTTTTTATTTTTTTTAAAAGAATAAAATAAATTGCTAGAAAAATCAAATAAGGGTAGCTTAAATATCATTTTCGCCAGCACAAAGCAAGTTATAAAACTTTATTTGATTGGCTGAATCTCACACTCACAGTTCGATAGTATAATTAATCAATTTATTAAAATAGTGACTAACAGTGATTTTTTTTTATAGAGAATTCAACAACACTCTGTTGTGAAAGTAAAGGGATAATTTAAACTTTGAATCGTTTGGTTTATATACAAGTTATGCTGAGATTAGTTATACATTTATATTAAGATTGTCTTTTATTGAGTGTTGGTTTGTGTATTTAAAATAATATGCATTGCATAAATTTTAAAAACAAATTAATTGTTTATAAAGATACTTATCATGAATGTGAAAAGTGATGTATTAAAATAATTTCAAGGGATATCTTTGTCATTTACCTATTTTATCCGAAATAAGTTATCTCGAAATTACTATACTACCCAAAAAGAGGAATAACTTAACCCAATGTTAATTATTAATTTTGGAATAAATTATTACGGACGACCCCTAATTTCATTGTATGAAATAAATTCAATATGAAGAGTATTAAACACGTTGACTTTGTAAAATCCCTAAGAAAAAATTGTTAAAAGATTCAGAAAACAACTAAATTTATATTCATTGCTTAATATTGGTGTAACAGAAAGTCTATAATATATAAATAATATCCTATACCAACCGAGCTAAAAGACACTATTTTCTGGTGTGCTATAAAACAATTCAAGTTTTACATCGAATGACTAAGGGAAATAAATTAAACAGGAAAACATTTAATTTAAAATGAAAACTATATTCAAGGGATGAGCAATTACGATATCAACTCCCTTTTGCCGGGTGCTACTTCGGATTCTTCCCTTTAGATATTAATAAAGTAGTCGAGAAGGATAGAGCTCAGCTCACATAAACCAAAACATTTTAATTATTTAAATAATTAGCCGATCCAATCCAACTCGGATCTGCGACCCGTGTTTAAAATATCTTTTCTGTTTTATTTGAATTTTTCACTATTGTAACTTTCAACAATAACCAGTGCCGACTCTTGCCTATAAATTTTAAGGCCAATGCCAATTTGGGGGCCTCAAATTTCTATAAATAAAAATCATGTTTAATTTATTCATGAAAAAAAATTAATTATTTATAATAAAAAGTATATATATATATATATTTTGCTAACACTCACATTATTTATTCTTTTTAACTCCTTATGCACTCTATTTCTTCAAATCTTTGATAGTTAGAGTAATACTCTATCAAAAAATATGAATCAATAGTTGTAAAGTGTTAAACAAAGTAAATTACAAATATTTTTTTATTTCTTTGTAAATTCTCATATTAAAGTAGGGTACACCAAGTTATCATCTTTTTGAATCATATTCTATGATTCTAACTCTTATCTTTATTTAAAATTTATCAACTTATTACTTATAGAACTATGTTATCGATTCATATAATATTTGTCTCAATAAAATAATTCTTTTCAACGTTGAATTGATAAAATCCTTCTAATTAAAAAAATTATTTGAAAAAATCATTTATAAAAAAGATATTAAGTAGTAATTTACATCTAAAAATTTAGAAAAATAAATAAATAAAGATAAAATTTATTTAAATTTTAGGCCTCTAATTAAAATTTGTTTTAGGCCTCGAATTATATTGAGCCGCCCCTGGCAACAACCATGACCTTTCTGAAAGGTTGCAAACTTTCATAAATGGTCGTGTGGTTTCTGAAAGGCTGCAATTTTTCGGAACCAGTGTTTCTTGGCTATAAATACCCAAGATTCCTTAGACTTTTCACTTATGAAATTTCTGAACTTCTTCTTCTTATTTTGCACAAATTCATTATTTGTGTACTTTACTGCCGTTGAGTGGCTCGCTGACACAATTATTTTGGGTATCAATATACTGGTGAATAAAATCATTCTATCCTAGGAGGATCTATTCCAATTCAAACTTCGGATACTAGAGGAGAATAATTTCCTTAAGGGAACATTATGCATTCAATGTAGGGGTGTGCATTCATTTTTTTGGTTTGGTTTTGCATTATTCGGTTTGGATTTTTCGGTTTTTTGTTTCGTAAAAGTGTAACCCAGTCTGATCCAAAATAAATTTGATTTGGTTTGGTTTTCCCTTATTCGATTCGATTTTTTTCGGTTTGGTTATTCGGTTATGTCAATAATTAATAACATAACTAAAGTAATAATATTTAATCTCTTAAATATACTTTCTAATATAAATCATAAGTAAAACTTAAAACCTTCACCCTTAACCAGAGGTCTCGGGTTCAAGCCCTGGGTATGGAGAAAAATCCGTTGGGAGCGCCACCCCCGAATGGGCCTTGCAGAGTGCGATTCAGATTTATTCTGAGCTCCAATGTGGGCTCCGGATACCGGGTGGGAAACAAAAAAAAAAAAGTAAAACTTAAACACAATACTTATAAGTAGACCCATTATAGATGTAATTCAAACATAAAATATAAATGTAATCATCATGAAAGGCAATAACCAAAAAGGGACAAAAGTGCTTAACTCCAATAATTTGGTTTTTTGGGGTTTTTATTTTTTAAAACCCGAAACCAAACCAAAAAACCAAACAAAGTAATTTATTAATCCAAAACTAATCCGAAAAACCAAAAAACCAATCCAAATAAAAATTTGATTTGATTTGGTTTGGTTATTCGGTTTAATCTGAATAATGCACACCCCTAATTCAATGGACTCGATTTTCTTTCCTTTATGTTTCATGCCAATGTTACAGATTCTAGTAAATTTGACAATCATTAATTTCAGTTAATTAATTTATGTTCTTCACTACATGATTTAAACTATGGAATTTACTGTTTCTACAAAGTTTTGTCATCATTAGTATTGGTTTAAATACATATTGAATAACAAATTATTTACGTCAAATAATTCAAGTGAAAAAATAGCAAACAAGACAACAAAATTGTTCTTCTCATAGCTAGTTAGAAGATCATAAAAAAAAAAATATTGTCCGACAATTATCTACCTTACCGAATTACATAATAATTCAAGAGCATAATTGGAAATAAGCTTTTTATAGAGTTTTCATTCAAACACAAGATGAGATGGAAAACAATGAATCAAACACTTGATAAAAATAAACCATGCATTACCAATCCTTGCACTATTAATCCCCCGCATTACCAATTCATGCATTATTAATCTTTGTACCAAACGACCACTAAAAGTATAAATATATATCTAAGATAATTTAATTAGTGAAATATGGTTCTAATGTGTTTTATTTTCTGTTAACATTTAAATCTAGTTGAAGTTCATCTCAAACTTTTCTTATTGCATCCAAAAGTTTCGGTATTGTCTTTTCAAACTGCACCATAAAATTGTGAAGAGTTTTAGATGCAATAAGTGTTTTCTTATGCGTAACGGGTTCCAAAGGTATTGTATCATTTTCTACTTTATCATCAACATTATTTTTTTCGATGTTATCCATAGTTTCTTATAAGCTCTAGATCTCTAAACATGTATAATTTTCACATGGGTTATCCAATAGGTTATTGACTTTCATTTTATTGCGGTAATTGAGATAATTAATCATGAATTCTTGAGTTTATTTTATATTGAATTATGTAACAAAAAATATATTACAATGAATAATGCATATACATTGTACATTTGTACTTTATGTACAATAATTTTTTTTTATATGAATTCAATAATATAATACATAATTTAGTAAGATGTAATAATTCTGATGTATAATTGTATTTTATGAATAATAAATTTATTTTTATGTGAATTCAATAAATATGATACATAAATTAGTAAGAGAATGATTTTGATGCAATCAAAATTAACCTTCATTGAATCTCAAAACACTCTTTAAATTAATAAATATTAATTTATCGATTAAATAGTATCTCTATAAAATAATAATATTCTATGGTCCATTTATATTAATTTAGTGAAATTTTAGTGTATTATGTTTCAAACATAATTGATCTACTCGATCTGGTGACGGATGATATTATAGCTATTGACCCATCTAACTTGAGTTGGGGCGTGGCAATATAATTTTTTGTGCTACAAAATAATATTAATAATAAAAATGTATTGATATTTGCCCTTTTCGTAATTTGACATTCAAAAATTTTTGTTTGACAAAATTAGCCAAATTTAATCCGCTTATCAAACAGTCAAAATCATACTTTCAAATGAATTAGCCAATTTTTTATTTTTTTATTTTTAAAGTACTTTTGAAAAGCAATTTTTAATACGAGTGTTACTCAAACTAAAGTATGGCTAAATTGTAATTGTTGTTATTTAGAAAGGGGTCAATGTGCTAAATATGAGAAGCATAAGGACTCATGATAATAAAATATAGTTAGTTGTCTAGAGTCCACTAAAGTTTTAAAGCACGTTTTCTGTGTAGCCCCATTTGCCGACTACTATATTTGAATTTTTCGCCTCTCTACAGTAATAATTACTTTATTATTTATTTTTTCGAAACAATAAAAACGTGTTTAATTTAAAATTGTGTAAAAAAGTCTAATCCAGCATGAATCGATGGCGATGTCAATTTGTAAGACACTAAAAAGCTGAGTATAGTAATTTCCTTTATCTACCCCACCTTATCATCTCTGTTCTCTACCATAACATTCACATGTTCCTTCCTCTCTACTACATAACTTCTCTAGCTACCAGAAAATAGTCACAATTCTTCATATCTGTTTCTATCAATTTTGGAATTTTCTCGTCGGAAAATATGTCGAATTTGTGTGACGGCCGCAGGAGGACTGGAGACGGCAAGGCGCCGGAGAGATCGAGTTTCGTACAGACTTGTAACTTGTTGAGTCAGTTTATTAAAGGGAAGGCTACTATTAGAGATCTGAATCTCGGAGTCGCCGGCCAAACGGAAGCTGCAGGTATTTTTTTTTTTTGAATTAATAGTATTTCTAAGAGATCTAGTTCATTTATGGAATTCCGTACATAGAATTTTATTTTTCGTTGATATTTTAAGCTGAATTTTGAAATATGTGGATTGAATATTATATTTTGGGGAATTGTGAAACGAGGAAGATTTGTTGGACTTGTAGGCTGTAACTATCTTAATCTGGTAATTTTGAATTGGAGAAAATGGAATAAAACAAGTTTTAGAAGAAGAAGTGAAAAGTAAAGCTGCTGCAAAGTTTTCTATTATTTCTCAGTTGTACTGTGCTTTCTCTTCCAGGGAAAACTGAAACTGCAACTATGGATTTATTAACAGTCATGGAAAAACCATCTATTGATCTAACAAAAGAAGAACACAAATCCGTAGATCTTGTTACAACAGAGTCTTCTAGAGAGAAGGAGGCCGCTGTAAATGAGCCCAGCACGAGGTTCGTCCCCGTATTTTGACCTGTTTTAGCAAGTAATCTAGTTTATTTTCAAGTTATAATTACACTTGCTATGAACGATTAGTTAAATATGAAAAAAACTTTTAGATTGTCGGTAGAAGTTGAAAGTTGAAACTCTAACTTTCACCTTGTTACTAGTGTTCAATTCCCACCTTGCTTCTCCCATTTACTTTTCCATACTCTATTTTTTTTTAAAAAAAAGATAAAAGTCTAAACTGCTTGCATACATAATAGGGTTTAATATAGTAAATGTGTAGTAGTAATTTCACATGCTGATTTATATTTGCTTTCCTTTTTCAGTAAAGAGGCACCAAAGGAGCCTAAAGCAGCCCAATTGACTATGTTCTATGATGGTAAAGTGATTGTTTTTGATGATTTCCCAGCTGACAAAGCTAGAGCAGTGATGTTATTGGCTAGTAAAGGATGTCATCAGAGTTCATTTGGGACTTTCCAGACTACAAACATCGACAAAATTAACACATGTACTGCTGCCCCTGCTTCTTTGACAAGTAACAGAACTGATTCTGTTGCACCACAGCAACAACACCTCCAGATTAAGCCAGACTCTAGCTCTGCTGCACCGCAACAGCACAAGCACAATCTGCCGCCACTCCATGTTTGTAGTAGTACTAAAACTGATCATCTTAACCCCGGATCAGTTTCATCTGCACCCTTAGTAGAGCAGGAGCAACACAAGCAAATCCAGTCACAGGCTGCCGGAATTAGCAGCAGCTCCGGTGAGCAAATTACTTCTTCCTTTTCATTTTATATGGAAGTATTTGGCTACACACAAAATATAAGAAAGGTAGACAGACGCTTGGGGTCTACTTTAGTACTCTTCAAACTTGTGGTCTTAAATTGTCATGATGTATAAACAGCTAAGTTATGTTGAAGAGTTTGCAATATCAAACAAATTTTTTCTTAAACGGACTAAAAAGAATAGTATAGAAAATGAAACAAAGCAAGTACTACTTACTCATGTTGCAAGGTAAAATTTTCCAAGATTGGTTCTAATATGCATTATATCTTTGGTTTCTCAGAGCTACCTATTGCAAGAAGATCTTCACTACATAGGTTTCTTGAGAAGAGGAAAGATAGGTAAGCGGAATCTAAATTTGTGGCTATACCAAAACTTTTTTCCAAACAACTTCTGAGGTTGTATAGTTTAAAAGAATCTCACTTCTTTTTCTGTCTAATTCAGGGCAATTGTTAGAGCTCCATACCAAGTTGTACATAACAATCCTTTGTTACCATCGTCTTCAAATACTAATGGTGAGTCATCTTCCAAGGATTGCGAAGATCAGCTTGATCTCAATTTCAAGTTATAGCCAAAACTCCACTCTCGCAGTGGGAATTCCATAAGCTATTTTTTGGTTGACGACTGGATAAGCTAGTAGTATTAAATATATATTTAGATCAGTGATTTGAAGATTATTTTTCCAGCACAGCTTAGCTTACAGATTATATTTCTTGTATTAGATATTGTTTATTATTACCAACCGAATATTATGACTTTTCGTTTGTTAAAATAGAATGCGTAATTAATCTTTGGTTTTCCCATTTTTCACGTTTCGCCTTCATGAAGGTGTGAAGTTCTCTATGAATCTTGTCAGTGTTAATTACGGTAGTTATACTAAACCTTTTGAGAAAAAGAAACAATTTGTATTGGATTAATAAATACTCTTTCATCGTTTGTTAAAGATTTTAGATTGAAGTTTTGGAAAAGAGTCGCTTTTGCAAAGTGAGTCTTCTTAGTGTGAATCTAAATTAGTTCAATTCCAATGTGAATATTGGATGTGTTGGAAAACTAAAAAAAAAAAAGAAACATTTTGCAAAAGAAACTTGGAGGCAACTGCAAAATTGATGACTGTGTTGACTTTTGTGAGCATGGAATACGAATTTCTTTCTTCGTAAACGAAAGAAACATATACCAACTCCATGGGTAGACCTAACCACATGTGAAACTAAGAAATTTTTTTATCAAACGAGTGATTTGATTTCGTTTCTTCTCTGCAATATGAACTTGGAAAGAATATTGAAGCTCAACTTTAATTTTTCAACTAAATCTATCAAATAAGTCTCATGTTATCATGACTTCGATCCCTTAAGCCTTGTCATAGACAGGATGTTGACATTATCCGATTTGTGCATGAATTTTTTTTCCATTTTCTCCGTGGCTCCCCACCTCCGCCCTAAAGTAGAGATTGGTAGATTAGGTTTAATAATGCGAAATCGTTTAAAATAATTGATCTATGATTCGTGAGAGAGCAATAGAGAAGTTCAGAGCAACTTCACCAAATAGTAATGTACAAACGATTACACCAAAATCTGGATATGATATCATGTAAATCATATAAATACCGAACCAAAATCTTAAAACAATGAATAGAGTGACCGAAACATTATAAATTTCTTTAATGAATTTACATAACTGATTAATGAGGTCAATGCATCACATAGAGATGATTGCTTCTATATAAATAGAAAACCATAACTATGGTTAAGTTTTCAATAGTAGTTTGAATAATCATTTATATTGACACTGCTTTCTTCTGAGATTGATATAAATTATCTAATTTAATAATCGCCAAAGCTGGGAAAAAATATATATGATGATTTCACTTAACACAAAAAGAATTAAGATATGTAAAAGTAATGAATGACTATTTTTCTCCCCAAAATGAAATGACTCTAAAAAGAGAAATAAAAATATAAGAACATATTTTCATATGGTTATGACCATGAGAAATTTTTCATTTTCTTTATACTTTATTTGAAAATAAGTGTTTGACTGATCTGCAAATACATCTTTTTGGAATTTGGAAAACATCCAAAATGCTGTTTTCACTTAATTTAATTTTAAAAATTAACCATGATTTTTTATTTTATAAAATAACCCTATTTATATTATATGTTGTGTGTTTTTAAGAAAATATATTTAAATTCTAAATATTTATTACAAAGAAATATGAACAAACACAACTCCAACTCAAACTTTAAAAATTTCAAATAATGTATTTTTTTAAAAAATTTTCATGGCCAAATGCTTAATTCTTGAAAAATACACCTCCAAATATGAAATGGATTCAATCGTTGGCCCAACAAGAGTTCGGCCCAAATCTGGACAACTAATTTCAGTTCTCATTGTACAAACAAAACTAAAGGCCCATGACAAAAAGCCCAAAAACAGGAACCGGGTCGGTACCGATAGTCCCTCTCCTCTATAAATAACTCTACTACATTCTCATTCGTCATTTATTTCTGTTTTTTCCTTTCTTTTTTTTTTCTTTTTTCTTTTTTCTTTTTTTTTTCTTCTTCTTCTCGGAGACCTTCTTCTATCTCACCGTGAGGTCACCGGAAACCCGATCACGCCGGTAATTATTTCTCCGATCTCGGAATAGTAGTTGAGAAAATGCTGAATCAGAGGCTAAAACAAGAGCAACAACAAGCCTTGATGCAGCAAGCTCTTCTTCAACAACAGTCACTCTATCACCCTGGCCTAATAGCTGCTCCTCAGGTTCGTTTTCGGTTAGGTTGAATTTTCCACTTTGTCGTATATTTTTGGTTGATTTGTTTCTATTTCATTTTACTTTACGTTGATTGTTCTACCTCTCTAGGTTTTGTTTCTGTCAGATTAATGGGTATTTGCGGTCAAATGATATTTGGTACTTTTTGTGGTGTAGTTCATTGTATTACCTTTGAAGCGGACCCGTTTTCTTTCGTTAAAATTGTGGTGTTGTTTTGACATGATAGAAACTTAGGGTTTGGTTGTATAATGTGTATTGCTGAAACAACTTTAAAGATACTTTTAACTTGGTGTAATATTGTTGACTTTGGGACAAATTCCTATATTCCCCCCCAAATTACCTCACATATCATTAAGAGTACCCAACATTTTACGAGTAACTTGTTTTCCGTTGTTCTTTCTTTGTGACTTTGCTTGCACACACCAATAATCTGCGCTTGAACTGAGTTCCACATCACCCATCACTATTCATGGGCTAATTTGGTAATTAACTGTTGCCACCCACATCTATGGAGTAGCCACCAAAGTCGCTAGCTTCTTTTTTTGTCTATGCATCTTCAAGGCTACGGGCAAAGGTAGAAAACTGGACTGTAAATGTGAAAAGGTGTTAAGTCAGGCCCTATACATTTATATGACTTAATTTATCACCTGTAGTCATTTATAACCCATTAGTTTACGCATATCCTTAAGTTTTTCCATCTTTATGAATATTGGTTGTCCTCGATACTTCTTTTTCTTTCCTATAAGTAGGTTGCCTTGATTTCAAAACCTAGCTTCTTAGGGTATAAAATTTATGCATTTCATTGGTTCTGAAATTGTTTCCACTTAGGAGTGGCATGTAGTGTAATTCAAGGAGATACTTTTGAGTTGGGGAGCTATCCTCCTTTATCGAAGTGTCTTGTTAGTGAAGTATGAAGCATATAAGATAACTCTTACAAATATGGGTTGTCCTCGGTATTTTTTTTTTTGATAAGTAGATTGCCTTGATTTTAAAACCTAGCTTCTTGGGGTACAGAATCTATGCATTTCATTGTTTCCGAAATTGTTTTCATGTAGGAGTTGCATGTAGCGTAATTCTAGGAGATACTTTTGAGTTGGGGGAACTATCCTCCTTTATCGAAGTGTCTTGTTAGTGACGTATGAAGTATATAAAATAGCTCTTATGTTAATAGCGGAATCATTTGAATTCATTAGAGTGTGTCATGAGTTGCTCTGAATTGACTTTTACCAAACAACTCATTAACCTTTTTTGTCTTCAAGAATGAAGTTGATAAAGGGGGGGGGGGGTAAGTTTGTTTGTGGGTAGTGCTGTGTATGGGTAACTATCAACCAAGACTGACGAAAAGATACAGTATCTTTTACTTGAAGCATAGATTTCCTGGGGTTTCTGATATGTAGTTTGTATCTTATTTATTTTACCCCCCTCTTTTTATTTGTACGTACTTTGATGCAGATACCAAGTGGAAATCTACCTCCTGGGTTTGATCCAAGTACATGCCGCAGCGTGTGAGTGTGTTATTTTGTATTATTGATTGGTTGCCTTCTCGTTTATACTGGCATGCCTTGATTTTACATGCCAGTTAATGCTCTTGCTAGTATGTTATTTTCCTCTTTTAAAAGTTCTAGTTTTTTCATTTCTGAGAAAATGCAGGTATATTGGGAATATTCACCCACAGGTGTCTGAAACTCTTCTTCATGAACTTTTTTCATGTACTGGTCTGGTTGAAGGGTGCAAACTAGTAAGGAAGGACAAGGTACATCTTTTCTCCTCGTGCAACTTGACAGCATTTTCTGTCGCTACTGTTTAATATGTTTTGTAGATGTTTTTCCTCTTCTCCTTGTCTTATCTAGGCATTTTTCTATTATATGGCTTTAAAATTTATTTTGCTTCGTCTTGTGCAGTCATCTTATGGCTTTGTTCATTACTATGACCGTAGATCTGCTGAACTTGCTATAGTTACTCAAAATGGAAGGCACCTGTAAGTAGGCTTATTAGCTGTGTTTTGCTTTAGGCCTTTTTCCTTTTTACTGAGGTTCATACCGTTTGTTTTCAGGTTTGGGCAGCCTATTAAAGTTAACTGGGCATATGCCAGTGGACAGAGGGAGGATACTTCAAGTGCGTTCAGTTCCTGTTTTAGTATAATGCAATTTGTGACTTCACATTTAGTCCATTACGTTGCGTTGGAGTGTGTGAATTTGTGTATTAATTTTTTTGTTTGTAGGTCACTTCAATGTATTTGTTGGAGATCTGAGCCCAGAAGTTACTGATGCCATGTTGTTTGCTTGCTTCTCTGTTTACCCTAGTTGCTCGTAAGTACCTCCTCCTCCTTAATGCCTCCCTCAGAAGGTGCTCTGTCATGGTCAATATATTTGCTCTAGAAAGTGCCAAAATACACCAACACAAAAGATGATAGTTTACTTAAATGTGTACATCCAGTGGCTAATTATCCATTCCAATTGATAGTGATGCTAGGGTAATGTGGGATCAGCAGACTGGGCGTTCTAGGGGTTTTGGATTTGTTTCTTTCCGGAACCAACAGGTATCCTTTTATCTACATTTAGTTTCTAATTGTCTTTATGGTAATGCATGACTTTGTTCCCATTTAATCTTTGTTGTTCTTGTCCAGGATGCCCAAAGTGCAATTAATGATTTGACTGGTAAGTTGCCATAAAAGTTTTCTGCATTCAGTTAATTTATTACTGATTGATGCACATGTTGGATTATTTCAAAGCAATTGAGAACCAGAAGATTTTGTTTTACCCCTTGCATCACAGATGTTCCTCTCCCAGAAGCTGATTGCTTGTGTTATGATGTCAGGGAAATGGCTTGGTAGTAGACAGATACGTTGTAACTGGGCTACAAAAGGAGCTAATTCTAATGATGAACAAGGCTCAGAAATCAGAAGTGTCGTGGAATTAACTAATGGATCATCAGGTGTGTACAGTTTTCGAATGACAAGTCCTTAAATTTGATAAAGAGAATTATCCAGA